TGTTCCTGCTGCCGAACGAAGGGCCTCATTCTCCCTCAAAAACCTTGGGAGAATCCTCTGATCTACAAATCTCCTATCCTAACTTCTATAGTCGTACGTAGCCATTGAAAGCCAGTAAGGCGGATCGAATGGTCTTTCCTCTATGAATTCTCTCTGCCACGGTGACATAGCCTTATGGTGATCAAACTCCATGGCTTCCTCTCGCCTCAGCCTTTCTTGATATGGATCGAACGCCATAGCTTATTCTCGCCTTATACGCTCGCAATGCGGATCCAAATGAATAGATCATTCATGATCATCCACGTGATGAACATTTGACGGTAAATCACCTGGCCTAATCTCTTCGCGTTGAAGATCCATGTGATTGTTTCCTTCCTGCTCGCCTTGGAGAACAACATCAGGTTACATAACTCTCTCTCCTACTGGAGGTGGTTATGGAATCGCCGGAGTTTCCCGACGCTCCATTCCAACTTGTAATTCTGCATTCTTTCTCCTCAGAGCTTCAATCATACTCATCAATTCGTTGAGCTTTGTTTGCTGGTCATTCTCCTGTGGATTAGAACTTTCACCTCCTATCATCATTCCTAATCAGAGCAGAGTCATCAACCGTGAATTCCTGATCGAATCTGAACTCTGCTAATGCCAATGCACCAGATCTGGCCTCGAACTAGCTGAATTCCGATCTCCTTCGGCCGGATCTGAATCTTTCCTCCTGTGAACTCGTCGGATCTAGCTTCACCTAACATATTGCGATTGTGCAGATCCAACTCCAATCTCCAAAGATTAACTAGAACCAAGACTCTACAAGACAGATCATAATCTCGCCAATCTAAATCCAACTTCCAGAGATCAAGCTTATTCTTCTCGAATCAATCTCGATCGGTTCCCACAGACGGCGCAATTGAAGATGCAAGAAAAATACTCTCTCAATTTCAAAAGAATAATTGTGCACTTCCAATATTTTTTAACCCATTTTCCCTCTCTTTTCAGTCTATTTATAGACTGTTACAAACATTCTAGAAGCTTCCTAACTAACTCCTTACGTTGGGCTGACCTTCTGAGCTTATCTTGGTTATGGGCTCACTTCTTTTCATCTTAAATCGAGATTTCAAAATGATCTTCCGGTCCTGGGCCTAATCTATGAAGACTTGGTTCGGGTTGATTGTTTTTACCCGACCCATTCCTGGCAATTTGGGTCGCGCCTAGCCTAGGCCATTTTTGGTATCCTCAGACATCCCCTTCTTTCTCAGTAACTTTATAAGATGATACTTCCTCTGTCCCAAAAAGGATGTCGCGTTTAGGGAATCGTGACTCACAATAGAATATTGAAGACAACGACTTAGCATAGGTAGCTTCTGGGATCAGACTCAGGGTATGGAAGAAACCCGGATAACCATCAAAAAAATGTTCTTTTCGTAGAAGCAAGGAATGCATTAATAGCCTATGACTCCACCATTGAGGTTGCTGACTTAGACCAAGAATATTGGAGACTGCCAATCAAATAATTCCTCCAAAATACAAGTGCAGGTGCTGAAAAAAGAATCTAAAAGATTACACAATATGTGAGTCACGGTTCCCCAAACACGACATCTTTTATGGGACGAAGGTAGTACTTTATATCAAAAAATGAATAACAGAATCCTTGTACCCAAACAAGTAAGATAGATGGTACTTCATCTAATATCCCCATCTATGTCCGAATCATCATCAATTTCGTTCAGTCACGACGCATCCCTGTGTTTTTCTCTCTTCCGGCCGATTCTCTCTCATCTCCTCTATCTTCACAATTTTTTTCATATCGTTATGAATGGATATATATATACACACATAAATCAATTTACATATATATATATATATATATATATATAATACCCAGGTCAACTATCGGCTCTCTCTTTATCTTCTTTTCTCTCTGGCTCCATCATCTTCTTCTTCTCAATTTTAAAACGAAAAGTCTCCGGTGTTTCCAAATCGACGTCCGGCGAGTCTTCGTGCGTGTCCGGACGTGTCCTATTAATTAAAAAATACAAGAATACGTGTTCGGTCCTTAGACGTCTACAACAGCCGTGTGTCAATGCTTCATAGTTTTTAAGTGTTTTAATTACTAACTTGACATCATCTTTACGATAAAGTATTAAATGTTTCGAGAATATTGGTATCTAAAGCAATGGCAGTCCTTAGATCATAGATGTGGTGGTGAGTTCCACCACATACGAGGGTTGGAATGACTTCTGTAGCATACCACCAAGTATGAAAAAATATCACTTACCTTTCTCGATGTTAGGCATAATTACATATAGGTTTCAAAAATTATACTGACCTCCCTTCAATCTGATCACGTTTCAGTTGTATTAAAAATGTGTGAATATACTTATATACTTCTATTTTTATATTAATAATAATAATTATCTATCAAATTACTCTTTTACCTTACCAGCCTTAAATGATTTGATATGTAAATGAACCCTAAATTTGGAGCGCAGAATCTTCACTACCGCCAAAGTTCAGAGCCACCATCTTCACCACCGCCGGCAATGCCACCATCTTCATCACCCCCGGGACAGCCACAACAAAACCACCATCTTCACCACTGCTGCTACAACAAAACCACCATCTTCATCGCCGCCACATCACATCCACATTCCCCACCGCCGTCGTAACGGCCATAGCCACCACCACTGCCACAACTTAGCCCCCATCTTCACCACCACCGCCACGGCCATAGCCACCATCACCACCGCCATTCCCCACTCCTACCACCGTAGTTGAACCCATTAAAGTCGGTCCAGTTACACCACCACTGCATACACACCCCCACCCCTACAATCAGCACCATCCCCACCCCCAAACTACCATTGCCATCTCCACCCCAACAATAACCCGTGTATTACGGTATGATTAAACCACCGATCCGACCGTCACCTCATAACCACCATGATTAGTTCATTACCCACAATAAAATCCAAAACAAAACCCTCACTTATCATCACTGCCACGGGCATATACCTCGTCGGGGCACATACCTCATCGGCGACGACTATGGGATCCATGATTCCGACAACCATGGAGGAATGGATTGATTATGCGGGCTTTTTATGGCCACGAGGTTGAAAGATTGGCAAGGGTGGATGTGATTGAGAGACTCTATATATATATATACATATATATATATACACACACACACATAACTATAGTTCTTCACTGCCAATTTTTTTTTTAATTTTTTTGAGAAGCCCGTATATATATGTTTATAGATAGAGGGAGATTGGTAAAGGTTCTAGACACAGAAGCAAAGTAAAAATATACATAAAGGACATGGACGAGTTTTTCTCTCTTTATATTGAGGGTACATAAGTAATTTTGTATCAAAAAGTGAGGGTGCAAATGTCTTTGCAACCTATCTAAAATATGGCATTTCACTCTAAAAATAACTGACATTAGCAAAAACCAGAGTTGGCCGGGGCTAAGTGTTATGACAGGGGTAACTTTAAGAGAGATTAGTGTAATAATTGAAATTATAAGAGTACCGGATGTAATTAAGTCTAACCTAGAGAAAAGTAAATGATATTATCTCGGTAAGTATTTAATACTTTTTTTATCTTCACACCCATACCACACCATCTAATTGTGTATTCAATCCTAATACCGTTGGTTGGGTCAATGACTAGGAATTAGCACTCAATCACCCACTCCCTGTGAATCATCTCATTCTATTATAAGAAACAAGGTATTAAATAGATACCACACACTTAAAATATAGGACAAATTACGGTGACACCCTTCTTAGGTTAGGTCAAATGTATTTTGGTTTTAATTTTCATTCATATTTTGAAGTGTTGATCCGTATTTCATTCACATCCCAAAAGTCACTTTTTACATGTAAAATGACAATACTACCCTTCTCCTGTGTTTACTTTGTTTCATATATAAAATAACTTAACTACTCCAAGAGCCCCACTTTAACTGACCAAAAATGTCCTAAAATTTAACATATGCGTAAAGGGAACACATTTTTTGGACAAATTTGACGGTCATCAGAACCTCTCACGTCATTAAAAATGTGGGCATTTATGTAATTGCATAAAAAAACCTAGCCACCTACACATCTTTTTCTGTGTCTCTCATATTTCTGTCCAAAGCCAACACAATCGTCACCCCCACAAGGGCCACAACAGCAGCCATCATTCCCACCACCACCAACATTTCCCAAGGGACTTCCCCCTCCTGTCATCAGAACATTATTCACTACTAATTAAACAAACAATGCATGTAGTGCACCAACCATCACTACCAATAACAATAAAAATAATAGTCACAATAATATTGATCATGATCTGTCCCTCACTGCACCATCTTCTTCAACGGCATTCCCAGTAGTACCTAACAAGGCATCTTTGGCATTTAAAATTATAGATATTTTGTGGTAAAATTATATTTAAAAAATTAAGGGTAAATGTTCCAATTCGTATGTGTCAGCCCAAAAAATAATTTGAAGTGTAATTAAAAATTAAAATCAAAATGTCCATCTATGTAAAATTTGACCTAACCCGAAGATGTCAATGTAGTTTGCCCTAAATATATTAAGTTTTCAATTTTTTTGGCAAAGGATTTCTATCCACCGTCTTGAGTCGGCTAAGCTTTCAATTTTTCCACACAATTTTTCCAGTTCGCATCAATTCTCTTTAACTTGTGCACGCATTTCATTGTGTACATACATCTAATCACTTCCGCCGACCCCCGCCGGTACATGTAAAATTTTGTATTGTATATTTATTCATTCTCACTTCATCTAGGTCAAAGGAATGCCCATCAATCTGCTGCTTGTAGAGTTCATAGCAACAACAATTGGCTGAACTGAAATCACAAACGTTCAGTAGCCATCCATGGTAGGACCAAGATAAAATGTCCACAAGCACACGGGCGTATTAAATCCATCCATGGTGGTGCTTACGACTGTTGCTGAATCAAAACAACTAAGCTTTAAATTTCCCAACTTCTAATTACTTCCAAGTGCCCTATCAAATAATTAAAAATAAATAAAAATATGAATTATTACAAGGACGTGGTAAAGCCTACCACATTGATCCCACAATTTCTCTACATTTCAACAGTGTGGTTCCCTATGATGCTATGACCTCTTCAAGATTTACAAAACTTTAAATGCTTACACTAAATGATGCCCCAATATACCATACAAAAGCTCCAATACACTATCCAAAAGACTCAGATGAATCTTTATATTGCTTCATTCAGATCTCACGTCGGGTTTCATGAGCTAGACTGGGGGCTGACAGCTGATGATGAGGATTCAACAGCACCAACTGATTTAGGGTTATTACTGTCACTGCCCCTTCCATTTGCAACGAGCTTGGCTGATTTCTCACTTTGTTGTTGTTCCTGATCTTTTACCAGCACAGGACGAAACTGACGGAAGACATTGCATTTTAGAAAAGAATTAGTAACTGCTGTAGTATTTAAGTGACATATCAGTGGCCTATCATAGAAAAATTAAAGATGTGAAAGACCCAGCTTTGGTTAATTACAAACCTGGTATATGGCATATATTACATTTCTTCTTATCTGCGCCATCATGTCTATGAAAAGGTTGTAGCCTTCAAGCTTGTACTCGATAAGTGGATCTCGCTGTGCATATCCTCGTAAACCTACAGCTTGTTGAACAAACTTGAGTGCTTGCAAGTGTTCTTTCCACAACCGATCAATGTTGCTCAAAATTAGGAACCTCTCTGCTTCCTTCATCAAACCTGGTGCTTGTTTCTCCACAGCATCCTACAAAAATTTATAAACCAAAATGAAAATCTACGAACACCGGGAAAATGAACAATCAGGGAGTTAGTCAAGAATGCTCATAGCATGATTCATTTTACAAAGTAACATTTGGCTACTGAAAGCTGTGCAGGATACTAATTGGGAATCCAGTCTTTCTAAAGTCGAAGTAAGTTGAGATGTATATAAGCCAGTATTTTCTTTCTTCCTTTGGATATTTGACAAGTTCTGCAGCAAGTAACAATTTTGGCCACATCCCGTTTCAAACTTGGCCAAAAAAACGATCTTCCACCATGGCAATGGTTTTCTCTCTTCCAAAATGGCCTGCTGCCCCACCAGCATGCAACTCCCATATCACATATTCACGAAGAGACGTCTTAGGAAAACAAAATCGAGTTCCTTTGAAGAGATAACCATCATGCACCGAATAATCAGGATATGTACCCTGCTGTCCAGGTATCAAATCAGCATGTGTGATGCTAAAGTCTGTGCAAGATAAGTAGTCTCATTTAAGCATATCGAAACCAAGAATTTGGACAGCCATGGAAGCAAGAATATGAAGATCTCGGGCTGCCTTATTCTCAACACCAGCTTTATGTTTGACAACGAATGAGTACTCTTGCAAGTATGAAACCCACTTCCCATGGCGGTGGCTTAACTTCTTTTGGGAGTTGATATATTTGAGAGCTTCATGGTCAGAGTACAACACAAAATCCTTGAAAAGAAGGTAATGACGCCAGTAGCAAAGTGCTTGAATCACAGCATAAAATTCCCTGTCATAAGTGGAATACTAAGCTTTGCTTTGCTTCATTAAGTTTCTCATTAAAAGATGCAACTGATGTCCTTCTTGACTAAGCACGCCTCCAATTCCAACCTGTGAAGCATCACATGCAACTTCAAAGACTTTTGAGAGGTCTGGAAGGCACAAAATAGGAAATGCAGCCATTATTTTCTTTACTTCTTCGAAAGTTTGTGCTGCTGCCTTTGTCCAAACAAACTGACTGTTCATACAATTGGTGATAGGGGCCATTATTGTGCTGAAATTCCTAATAAAACGCGGGTAGAATGAAGCTAGCCCATGAAAACTCCATGCTTCCTGCAATGTGTTGGGAATTGGCCAATCTAGAATCGTTTCACTTTATCAGGATCAATATCTACCCCTTTGGAAGAAATAACAAAGCCCAAAAATACCACACTCGGCATCATGAAAGAACACTTTTTCAAGTTCATGTAAACTTCTCTCGGCGGAGAACTCTCATAACTTGTTGAAGATGGGAAATATGCTCCCCACTTGTTCTGCTGTGGATTAGGATATCGCCCAAGTAAACAACCAGAAATCGACCAATAAAGGGCTGCAATACCTGAGTCATGCAGTGCATGAATGTACTACGGGCATTAGAAAGACCAAATGGCATAACAAGCCACTCGTAAAGTCCATCTTTTGTCTTGAAATTCATCTTCTATTCATCCCCGGGCCTTATGCGAATTTGATGGTAGCCACTTTTCAGATCTATCTTTGAAAATATACAAGAACCAGCCACCATGTCTAGCAAATCATCGATTCGAGGAATAGGAAACCGATATTTGATTGTAATCTTGTAGATAGTGCAACTGTCAACACACATGCACCAACTACCATCCTTCTTTGGTGTGAGCAAAGCTGGGAAATTTCATAAATAAATCCTTTGGACAGCAGCTCATTAACTTGCCTCTGAAGCTCGGCATGCTCGCTTGGATTCAAGCGATAAGCTGGAAGGTTAGGCAATGGAGACCCCGGTATAAAGTCGATGGAATGCTGGATATTACGTAGAGGAGAGAGTTCATTAGGGAGATTTCGGGAGACAAATCGGAGAAATCGGACAGCGAGTTGGCGACCTCTGATGGCATGAACAACAGTAGAGTCTTTGATTTCCCTCGCTACAGCAGCATATATAATACCTGTCTCTTTACTTTCCAATTGAAATCTCTTCTTGGAAAGAAGATGGAGGGACTTTTTCTTGCTTTTTGCATCATCTACAGCCTTCCCACCCTTATATTTCTCCATTTCAGCTGAAGACATAGGCTTCAAAATAATCTGTTTGTTGTTAAACAAGATAATGTAGGTATTCACATTCCCACAATGATACACATCTCGATCATAAATCCAAGGCTGCCCAAGGAGAATTTGCGTCACTTTCATGGGAATTACATCACACCAAACAGAATCATTATAAGCTCCACAAGAGAAGAAAACGAGACAACGTTGAGTTACAGGAATAGAAGTTTTATCTATTCACGCCACTTTGAATGGTTGTGGACGTGGTTGGACTGAAAGCTTGAGGCGCTCAAACTGTGGCTGCAGACACAACATTCATGCAACTTCCGCCATCAATAATGAGCTTTCGAGCTTGATTCCCACAACAAACTAGCATTTGAAAAATAGATGTGCGTCGCTGATCTTCATCTTCAACTTTAGGGGCAGCAAACTTTAGGGGCAGCAAAGATGTGCCTCACAACGGAGATTGACGGAACATCTTCATCCTCTTCTAGATAAGCAGTGTTGTAGATCCCATAGTCAAAACACGTTATCATTATCCTCTCCTTGTTCTTCTGGCTCTTCTTCATGCATTATCCCCCAATGTGTAAAATTTTCTTTGGACATTGGTACGCCATGTGACCTGTTTCTCCACATTTGAAGCACTTGTTATCCCTTCCACTACCCTTGTTGGTCATAATGCTCTTTCCTTTAGGTTCAGCCATGTTAGAAAAGGATAGTTTTGATCCAGCATTTCCAACATTCGGCTGCACTGCTGCTGATCGTGTGCTACATATCTCCATCACTGGACTTCTTGAGTGCTGCCTCCCAAGTCTGATATCCAGATCTTCGAGCTATTTGACAACTCAAGTACTCCATGTCCAATGCAACCTGAAAAGCATGTTCAACACCATATGACTGGCAAAGCAATTCCCTTCTGATATCAGACCTTAGACCAGCCTTGAATCTTGCAAGTGTTTGTCGCAGGTCTTCCACAACTTGAGTTCTGGTCTTTAACTCATCAAATCTTTGCATATATTCTGCGACCGAAATGCTGCCCTGCTTTAGATTGATAAGTTGATCACACAGCTTGTCATAGTAATTGACCGACATGTATTTCTCTCGAAGCTTCGACTTCATTTCTTGCCATGTGCTGATTGGTGGTCGTCCCAACCTCCTAATATTCCCTTCAACACCAGTCCACCAAACTTATGCCAGGCCCACAAGCTTCATTCTAGCAAATCTCACTCTACGATCATCACTCATACCATACCAATCAAAATATTCTTCAATTGAAGCAACCCAATCAGAAAATATTGTGGGATCAACCTTACCTTCAAAATCTGGCACCTCTATTTTAATTTTCTTTGTAATATCTCCAGCAGTATCATGCAGCTTACAATAATTCACTCCTAATGGAAACTCGAACATTGGATGTAGTGGCAGATCAGCCCTCACATTTCAACTTTGTTGCATGTTTAAAGGCCGCTGTTGCTCTCGATCTCTGCCATCATTTGTACTAGATGCAGTTCCTTGTTCAACGGCAGCATAATCGTTATTGGGCTGACACATTCGAGTTTCTAACTCACTGAATCGAACATTCAGCCCATTAATCTGCTCCACAATCTGAAATAACAGCTCATATCACTGATTACCACCCGATCTTTCATTTCCCAATTGTGTGAACATGATGTCAACTCAGGCTCTAATACCAAAAACTGATGTAGGACACAAGCAGCCTCAAATAGTTGAAAACAAATAAGAGTTTGGGCTGAAAATTCAGATAACCAAGCTATGGTTCAAGATGTGCTAGTAGAGGAGGAGGATTGGCATCACACAAAGGGGTTAGGCATCACAGCTAGGGAAGGCCTCACACCCTCATATATAGGGATGGCAATTTTCCCCCGACCTGGCCGGTTTCCGCCCCGCCCCGCTCCTAATGAGACAGATTTGGTAGCCCCCTAAATGAGTTTGGGGCGAATATGGTAAAATAATTAAAAACCGGAAGTGGGTTTGGGGCGGAGGCGGATTTATCACTAAACCCGCCCCGCCCCAATTATATATATACCTTTAAAATTTATATATATAATATCTTTAAAAATTTTAAGACCCTTGTTACTTTTCTACAAGTGTCAATTAATATATTAATATTCACTGCTTAGTAATTTAAAAATTAAGCCAACTTATTTATCAGCCCAATTTGACCACATTGGGGCAAGTTTTTTTATCAAATAATAAAAATAGCATAACCAGCCCCGCCCCCACAATTAAATGGAGTACGCAGGGCAAAGTCGGTACTTTGTCTACCAGAATAAGGACGGGGATAGTATACCAATTACAAACCCGTCTCAAAATAGGGGCGGAGTTGGTACGACAGATGTTCTAATGGGGTGGAGTAAGGTTTAACTAACTCCGCCCCGTTGCCATCCCTAATATCTTGTGAATCACTCACCACGAAATTTCTTAAGATATTTTATTCATTCATTGACTGAGTAATCAAAGTTACATACAGAGGAAAGTTTTTGAATAGGGAATTCTATTAATTTCCTTAATAGTTTACAGATTGTACAAGGCCTATATATACAAGAAAGGACAGCTACACTCTAAGCTATAAATAAGGAAAGAAATATATGTACAAAGTCAAAGATTTGCAGTTGTACAAACAGCTAGAATCGGAGACTAAAATGGGAAGGAATCATTCCAATTTATTCAGGGAATAATTCTGAATAAATTGGATCCGAATCCTGGGTCAACCGTGCCTAGAATCCCGGATTTTCTGGTGATCTGTTTTTCTACACTCCCCTTCAAGCTGACGTGTAGATATCAGTCATGTTCAGCTTGCCAATTAACTCCTGAAACTGTCCTTTAGCCAAACCTTTAGTCAAGGTATCAACTAGTTCTTTAGATTGGATGTAGGGAGTACATACTAGGCCTCCTTCAATTTTCTCCTTAATAAAGTGTCCGTTGATTTCAATATGTTTTGTTCTAT